GTTTTTACTCACGAAAGCTTATGCCCAAATAAATCTGTTAGTCTTTAAGGTGCCACCAGACTCCTTGTTGTTTTTTTAGGACAGATAGTATCTACCTGGATAGTGACAATTAAAAAAATATATTTTAAACAAGGAATCAGGAGAGGAAGGAACTGGCTCAAGAATGCCAACAGTTCGAAGTTGTACTGTGCATCACCTATTTAGATATCTAATCCTCCGTTGCTGACCTTTTCAGCCGTTGTTGTCCATATTTGAGCTGCATTTGATTCTGGTGCCATCAATAAGCTGTGAAGCAGAGCAATCACCTCTGCGGCCATACTGTTTGCTACATGCCCACTGATAAATGGGCGCACAGGATCTGTTCTGTAGAGAAGAAAAATGTCACTTGCCCAATAAACACTTCAATCGTTACCCCTGCCCAACACAAGTGATGCAAGATTAGGGTACTAATAGTTACTCTCTACATTCCTACAAAGACATTCATGTTATTTTGAAGACTCCACAGTGAGTTTCTACCTGGCAAGTTCAGAATTCCTCTCCCTGCAAATGGAGGTCTGAGCAGTTTTCTTTTTGTCACCAGTTGACAGCCCGCTAGTGGTCTCTGGACTGATAGATTCAATAGGTGGCCCGACGCTGACAATTAGGCCAGATTGTGCCCACTTGGTAGCCTTCCGAAGAGCTGCAGCAGCCTCTTCTGTAATAACCTCACAGCAGCCACTCTGAAAAAGAAATATGGAAGATATTCAAAGTGACTATTTAATTAGCTCTATTCAGGCCAATCATAACCCAAGGTAGCCAGAGCTAAGGGAATCATTTATCTGACAAATTTTCGCTTCCCCCTGACCCCAGTTGTGGTATAACCACAAAGAAATCAACACTTCCTCAAACTGTATTCATTATTCATATTGGACAGTTTTTTGTTTGATTTCATTTTTTTAATCGATGACTTGATCAAAGAGTGGATTCAATACTATTAGTTTAGTCGGTCAGATAGTCACACGGTGGTGTTTCTGTTCTTTGATCGAAGAATGCATGAGTACTTCTGACACAAATACTCATGAGTATGAATTTAAAACCAATTTCCTTAAATATTCTAACATAATCTTTGAAATTTACTTTTTGTAAAACTCTGTCTCCTTAAATACTTGTGAAAGAACACAAAACCATGACAAACACGTTCGAGAAAACATTAGTGGAAATATTTTTGCAGTAACACACCACCTGTTTTTCAAGGATTTACATATGCATATCAATAACATCATTATAATGCTAAAGTTTATGGACAAGTTTTCTTGAATTTCACTTGTTTAATATAAATATTAGCCAATAATTTATCTGTTTGGAATAGAATTATATTTAGTTTTCTGATTCTTTTACAGAAGGTTTAAGAACACTGGGGTAGTGAGAATGTTAACTGTCTAATGAGTTCTAATATGTTAAACAATTATCTTTATTACTTCCTTACTTTAGTCATGTCCCGATCCATCTTCACTACTTTCTCCATGTTAGCTCCAGTGCCAAGTCGGAATGGTCGACCTTCTGAACTACTACAAATGTAAGAATAAAACCTATTAAATGTGGCTTTACTATGTAAAATTAGTGAACTAGCTATCCTTTTGTTCTAATGGATCTCAAAGCACTTTAAAGCCTTTATTTACATGAAGAACTCAACCACCTCTGTAGTGAAAAGATTTCTCTCCAGTTGAGCTGCTTAATATCACAGCAGTTCTAATGAGTTGAGGATACACGATGGGAAGATTACCATTGTACTGAAACTGCAGGAGAAATGTAAGTATATAGAATGTAGTTATTCACATTGCAATTTGGCGATGCTACTGCAGTTAATTCTCCTATTTTTATAAAAAAAGTATCATGAGTTTTTTTAGTGGCCATGAGTGCCTAAGAGTCTTGGTTTTATATTTCATCTGAAAGAGAGCACTGCTGGCAGGAATGGTTTAACAACACTGCCTGTTAGCATTATACTGAGGCAGTGGTTCAAGGCTGACTCAGAGACAGGGTGTCATGTAATCAGGGCCGGCTCTAGGATTTTTGCCGCCCCAAGCAAAATCAATTTTGGCCGCCCTCCCTTGCCCCGTTTTTTTCTTACCACACCCCCCAGCCCCGCCTCAACTCCGCCCCTTCCCCAAATCCCCAGCCCTGCCTCCTCCCCCCAGGCTCTCAAGCCTGGGAGGGAGGGGGAGCAGCGGCGCGCGAATCAGCTGT